GAACCCGTAGTCGTAGACCAATTGTTGGCCGTTTTGTTATCTTATAATTAATTAGTTTTTTGTTTGGTATATATTAGGAGACATCAGATGTGCTCAACAGATGTCTGGCGATAATTAGCGGTCAGCCGTCGGCCACCGCCGCACCCGATATTGAAGCCAAACGCGTGGAATACATGGCCAGAGCCCACACACTGTTGGACGGACTCACGAGTTGGTGTCTCTCTAGTGGCCCATATGTTGGACCAAAATTTGATTTGCAATTAATTGTCTCTTTTTATGGACAGAAAAGGAGACAAAACCGGCGAACGAAGTGTCGGACAGTGAGGAGAGGTCACAGCTATTACGGGCCGAGTGTCTGATGCGGGAGGCGTTAGACGAGGACCGGGAGGACAACCGCGAGGAAGCGCTCGAACTCTACACACAAGCGATAACGCTATGCATTCAAGCCGTGAGTGTTGTTTATGTTTGAAATTAATTTATAATTTTATTGATTTTTAGTTTAGATAAATAATTAATACAAAATATTAATTGTAAAAATGTGTTAATAATAATAACTATTGAAATAGTATTTACTAATTGTTATGAGAGGAGTGTTTGTGTGAAAAGTGTTTATAGACTGTAATAGAGTAAATGATGGCGAATGGATGGGTATATAAGGTGAATTATATGTATATAAAAGTGCCCAGATGAACTCTCGGTGGTCCGGAGTGCAGGCTTCAAACCTGTAGCCGATTAGCGTCGGAGTGGTTCGATTCCACCCTCTGGGCGGTCAACTCATCTCACTATTTGAGACCACATTTTGAGAAATTTATTTTATCGATAAGTGATCTAATCTTTGATGAGTGAATGTATTGTTGTTTTTATTCATTTAGTATTTTCAATATTTATGCAATTTTAAGTAGAAATTTTTAATTTATACCATATCTTGAATTTTGTAAATTTATAAAATATTTTTAATTATCAAATTTTTTTGGTTTAAACAGAGAAATCAGACAAAAGATGATTCTTTGAAGAATAAGTTGACGGCTTTGGCCACTAGTGCTCTCGACAGAGCGGAAGTACTGAAACAGCCGCAGACCGGTTCGCCGTCTAAATCAAGTAACACAACAGACTGTGATCTTAACACTGGTGTCAATGACCTCAAACTCAGTCCCAAAAGTGTCGTTCCTGTGGGACAGTCGTCGACCGGTATTAATAGCGGGCAGTCATTATCGCCGCAACACGTCATTAGCGGACAGTCGGCCTATACTCGCGAAGAGATCCAAGTCTTAAGGACCACATCCCTAATCAATGGCCGCGAATACGTGCCTTTCCTTAATGTGGACCTTAAGGAGCGTTTCTCGTATCCGATGCCGTTCTCCGATAGGGACGGACTGTTAGTATTGGCGCCCAAACAGAAAAACCAGTTCCAGAGGTGGGCGCGACTCGAAGAGTTGACCCGCGAGCCGGCGGTCATCGCCGACGCTGTCGACTGTTTCGCTATTAAACAGACAATTGTGAGCGACTGTTCGTTTGTGGCCTCACTGGCGGTGTCCGCCCTCTACGAGAAACGCTTCAACAAACGTCTCATCACAACCATTATATACCCTCAACGCCGAGACGGCCGGCCTGTGTATAACCCGTGCGGCAAATATATGATTAAATTCAATTTGAATGGAGTTTCCCGAAAGGTATTCAATCACAAACAAAAAGTTTTATTTTAGTTTTGTTTTCACAAATATTTGTTGTTTCTATAGATTTTAATCGACGACAGACTCCCAGTGGACCGATTCGGGCAACTCTTGTGCTCTTATTCTAGTAATCGAAACGAGTTTTGGGTCTCATTGCTGGAGAAGGCGTACATGAAAGTGATGGGCGGCTATGACTTTCCCGGCAGTAATTCTGTACGTATAGGGACTTTACATAACAAATACATATACAGTATATTACATGTGAAACACTGCATCTAATGGACCGCTGTATTTGTGCAGAACATAGATTTGCATTCACTGACGGGTTGGATACCGGAGCGGCTCTCCATTCACGGCCACGAGTCGGAAAAGGAGCGCACGTTTAAGATGTTATGCGAACGACACGCGAAGGGAGACGTATTAATAACATTCG